TGACAGAAACGCAGAGAAGAAGCAGAGGGCCATTATCAATGGCCACAATCTTCCGGCGGTTATCTAAAAATGAAAGGTGAATAAAGGTATCTCAGGTTCAGTTTTTTTTTTCACTTTAGACATATGCCAATTTTTTTTTCTCACTTTATAAGCATAAACTGCCAGCCAGTCGAACACTCCAGTTTCGGCGATGATGGCAACCAGCACCATCATGGAGAACAGTAATAGCAGCGTGTCCATATCTATCCAAGAGATAAGTTCGCTCATACTCGGACGCTAAAATACAAAATGTCAAACGGAAAAATGATTTTGTTGAAATATTTAAAAATGTAGCTAGATATAAATACATGAAAATAATTTTGTTGGACCATAAAATAATTACGTAGGAATTTCAAGCATGATATGAGCTGCAAGAGGCTATCAATCAATTTTAGTGTTCTAATTATTATTTTCATAATTTAACAAAATTATTTTCAAATCTACAACTAAATTTTTAAATATTGTAAAATCGTCCTTTTAGTGCACTTTTTATATTTGTCTTTTAAAAGATTCCGTCATAGACATTAGAAGAGCGTGTTCTTGCGATACCTCATTTAGAGCCGCCAGTATTGCGATGGACATGGTGGATGCTAGCATAGCAGCTAGAGCTCTGTGTACTACCTAATCCGGTCAAACACGATGAAGCGTTTAGGAATCGACAGGAATAAATACATTATTAAGAATCTTTATTTTAGACCGCATATGTAAGAAACACAATGAATACTACAAAAATTGAAATGTCTTTATAGTCGAAGCTGGATCTTCATTGCTTTAAATAATTCAATCTTGAATTACTAATATACACTATATATATATATGTACCTGCATATGTACCATATTGTGGGCTTTTTCATATTTATAATAAATACATTCTAATTTGCGTACATGATTTACCTCGAAAATTATCAGGATGTATAAGATAACCAAGATAACAGCAGCAAGCGGTATACCGATACCGACATTTATTGGCGATGAATCGTAGCCTATCGAAAGCGAAAGGATAGACTTCGAATTCGTATTCAGATTGATAAACATTATGCCTTGCGATAGGGTCCTATAAACAAAACATTTGCTAACAAATTCTGAGATATCGTACTGCATATGAGACTTTCAGATATTTCCGCTGACGTTTTGCCAACAAAATTTGTAATAAACATTTTGCAAAATTTATTTTCATTAGATTTGAATAATAATAAAAATATGAGATAACGTACTTGCTGTCAGCTTTTATATGGAAAGTCCTCCGACGCTTCTGATCGGGGAAAATGTTCATCAAATTTTCAGGTAGTACCGGCAAGGTCCACACGTCGCTTACGTTCTGCAATTAATAATTGCAAATATAGTATAATATAGCTAGTTTATAATTATCTAGTAAATAAATGCCCAGTCAACACTAACTAAAAGTAACATAACATTAGTGTTATAATTATATAGCTGTGATGAAAGGAAATGTACGTTAGGTTTACTATTTAATTATGGCTGTGATATGGATAATGAATGACAAGAAAGTGCATGATAGAAAGTTACATAAAGACAGGTATTAGAATTTATTGAATATGAGACGTGCTACGGAGCAATGGACGAATGAATGAAGTAAGAAATATTTGTGAACTATAATGAATCCCTTTTTTTATTATTCTGTCTAAGCTGAAGAGAAATAAATATTCATTAGTATTATAATGTCGCACAATGTAACTGTTATATAACAACATGTGTTAGATTATATTTTTGAATACGAAATTATAACATTGATGTTACGTTACTTTTAATTTGCTGACTAGACATTTCAATAGATTTAGCTATTTAAATAAATATGCGCGATATACATTCAATATAATTAAGATTAATTAGTTTTATGAAATGTGTGTAAAAGAATGGCCGAAGAATATTTGTGATAAGCAGTTTGTTAATATGACTGATTCCTTTTCTTCTTTCTCTGTTTCAGGCTTGGCTGGATTTGACTTTCGTGTTCTTTCGATGCAAATATAAGTGTATGCAGAATAATTTTGTACACGTTTAAAAATATAGACACCTTCAAGTTCTTCAAATCAGTAATGGAGAGACGTGAATTGGTTTTTCTGTCCACCAGAACCTGCAGCCATATCATCAAATAGCATGTGGATAAATTTGCAGATAAATACTGCTCGTGTTTTCGTAACGGCAGCAATGGTCCTTTCATCGTCACGCTAATCAAGGTACTTGTAACATGTTCGTTGATTCGATAATCTATATATCGTTAAGAAGAGTATTCTGAGATTGATTGATATTATACTATTTATGAAAATTTCGTCTCCTAAATTTCGTCGTGCTCGAAATAGACAAAAATCCACAGTTCGATTTTTCATGATTGATTAGAAGGATACTCGTACTTTCTCTGCTAGACACAGAAAGCTGATGCATCGTCTCAATCCTCTCATTCTTGAACATCAGTATCATCTGCAATATAAAGCAACGTGAGATTTATTAATTGATCACATCAGTCCGATGATTTTTTCTTACTGTGAATAGAAGCCAACAACAGAAGAGTATGATTAACTTCATGTAACGGCAAAAAGGCCTCTGTCTCTCCTGTATTTGCACATCCTGCCCATCTTCGTCGACGTTCTGATGTTGTATGCTGCGAAGATACAGGATTAATTATTACATCCGCTCGTTCTGATAATTCGTAGGATCTTGTTAAAGTTCCCCCTTAATCGTGATATGTAGATGTGATTTACCTAATTGATGTCGCGGGTGACACTCTAAGAGACATATTGACAACCAGGCATTCTTTCTTCACGCAGTCCAGAGATCTGGAAACACGTTATCTTTCGTTATGTAGAAATCCTTTTTCATCGATTTCTCAGGTTTATTTTGCTCACCTCGTTTCTGTTATTCGATCACATTCTTTCTGAAAGATCGCTAAACTCGGATCCAGGCGAATCGCTTCTGGTAGTTGACTCCAGGCGCGGAGTACCTCCTCGGGGATTTGTCCGAGTATCACAGAGCTCGAAACGGAGGAGGAGGGACTGATCGGGCTATATATAACTTTGAGAATATTTGTTATAGAATTATGTTCAAATTGCAATTGATTTCAGAACTACAGACATGATTTTCTAAGAGACTCGAACATTTCAAGCTGCTAGCGTTTTTAAAAGTTTTAATTGTGTATGCTTTGTAATTTAACAAGTGGAATTTTAATGAAAAATTATAAAATTAATGAAAAAAATTAAAATTTTATTGAATTTTAATCTTATAAATGTTTTACGATGCCTGGGCATTTGTCTAGAAAATAAATACCGTAAATGTAAAGGTGACTTGAGACAATGCAGATAACTTGGAACAGCATGTACTTTTGTTAAATTCAATCGTAGTATCCATTTATGAGTTTTTAAAGAAAGTTTAAACTTCAAATTTTCTTTAATGACTTATGGATGGATATCACAACTGAATTTAACAAAAGTACATGCTGTTCCAAGTCACCTACGGTACATTACCAGAGTTGTGTATAGGAAATTTCCCGAGAGATTCATTGTGTGATCCGCGTGTGTAAAAATACAATGTCTAGTCCTGGGATTGATATAAATAGATTTCGTAATTCTTAAGTATACCTTGATTGTTACGGACGTGAGAATTCGCGTTGAGGTACATCTGTGGCGGGTTAGATTCGTCGTCACTCGTATCGTTCTGTGACATTATAGCAATTATCTCAATCTGTTCGTTATCGTCTCTTATTATATACAAATTTTTAGTTGAATTAAAATGTTAGTTTTATTAAATTCGCACGCATTTTATGTACACGATGTCGCGCGCTATGTTGCGCCTCTGAAAACACTACTGACTGTAGGAATTGTTTCACTTGTATTCGCAAGATTCTCAGAGGTCACCTTACAGCTTATAGATTATTTACATTTTACAATATAAACATGGAGTATATAGAAATTAGAATTATATTATATAAAGAGTATAGAAAATTATTTATCGGAATGTAAGCTTTGCTCTCTAAACTCTTTGAAGTAGAATGTCATTCTAACGAATACAAATTGAGTTAAAAAAGAGTCAGATTTCATTCTTTCATTAACTCTAAAAGATTTAAAGAGTAAGAATCCATAAATATAAAGATTTTTACAATTCATGAAAAATAGCATTATATATAATAGTATTACATATAAAATCAAATAGAAATGTAAGAAATAGCTTTAAGGCATTAATAGTTTTGAATAATCATGTTCGTGGAGAAAAATTAAACATATACGTTTGAAAAATAATTTTATTATACAGAAATTCATTATAATTTTACCATACGATTTCGTGTATTAACATTGTATCAATATGATTAAAAATCAATCACTTTTTACGCTCTATCAATTAGCTGAAACAGTACAATACACTGTGTGATCACACAGTGGTTAAATGATCACATAAAAGAATTATTCTGTAACTCTTAACGATTGTAATTGTAGCGTTACAGTATGTAGTTGTTGCGCAGTTTTTTTACCATATACAAAACTGAGCAATCGACATATGACAATGCTATAGTTACAGTCAATAAGTGTTACAAAATAAGCCTCTAAATACATAACGTTGAACTCTGTGAATTCATATACTGAAAAGAATTTTTGGTTGAAAATGTAAACGAGCTAGAAAATTCTTATCACTTTAGAATTTTGATTATCTCAATTAGAATTATAATAAATTCAATCAGAAAATTCTAATTTATCTATTTTCAACCAGAATTCCAATTAACATAACCAAACTTTCTTTCCAGTGTATCTATCGATATTTTTAAAAAATTACTATACTTTTATACATTGAAAAATATAATTACAATCAATTAACAATCTCATAGATATGATATTAATATATAAAAATATTATATACAGTTGAAAAGATTAACAATAACTCAGACATTCATCAGATGTTCTTTGCACACATTTTATAAATATAATACAATAATCTTAGTTATATTACATCGCACTGTACTACGATCGCATGATAATGCATCTCTCTTGTTCTCGTATATCATTTTAAAAATCTTTAGCGACAGACAAACAGTTTTCATGTGTCAACCAGTTTTCTCTGATGTTGTCTCCACGGCGTTGATCGACTTTTGCCGCATGATATCTTGAAGATTCTGCATTTCGTACTTTTCCATCGTGTTGTTGTATCGGCAATAGCACCAATAAATCGAGGCGACTCCCATGTAGGATCCCAGGGCGACGTTCGCCGATAGATTCCCGCGACTGGTGAACATGAAGGTGACAAGGCCGGCTGTGAGACCGCTATAGATACCGGTCAGCATACTCTGCTTGAAACAGGGGATCTTCCTGATGTCTCGGCCGAACAGCATCACCGCCTTGGACTCATCTTCCTCATCGTCCAAATTTCGGACGATCACGTTATCCACGTTACTCATAATAATACAAACGATTTTACGTAATCTTCACGAGGTTCACGAGCGAGACGTAAAGTAAGGTTAAGTTGGAGTTGTAACAGTCTTAATACCTTTGCACTCTTTGTGCACTTTGTGCTCCTACCTTCTCTTTCTCCAGGTCGAACGCTGATTGGCCGCGGCGACGACGTGCGGGGTGCAGGGCGCCGGGTGACGTCGCACGACGCATGTTCCGTGCTATCGAATCCGAGTGACAGGTGGTGCGGCTCAGCTCGGCTCAGCTCGGCTCTCAATCCCGTGCGGTGCACACACTTGATACGTGATCGCCGCCGTGAACGTTTGACATTAAAGCGCCGAAAAGCGTGGCGCACCGCTGCACCTGTCCTTTGAAGGGAGATCAAACGAAAGAGGAGAATACTCTACGGTCCTGTCACGTCGCGCACGTCGCGAGGACGCGAGTTGCGTTGTTACTCCGAAAGCGATACCCGGGACACCCGTCGTCAATCATCCGTCCAAATTGTGTGAATCGCGGTGACATGCACGCACGATCACCCGTGCGTCGCTGCTCGTAGGTGCTCCACCCCTCCCCCGTGTTTAGTTCCTACGATGTGTACCACGTATCCGCGCGACTCACCCGGGAGATTCAGCTGCAGAAGAGGTAAGAATCGTCAGTGTTGACTTCTGCGTGTACCTTCGTGTATCCCCCTGACACGAGGACACCGTGACACGAGAGATCGCGGTGTCCCTTAACCTTACCCATGAAAACAATCCGGAGTAACGCCGCGGGAAGCTCATGTCATACGTCACACGTCACACGTCACACGTATGCATTCAAGATTGAGAAGTGTGAATTGGAGATGTTAGAATTTAACTAATTAAAACAAAATGAATTAAAATTATCTTACTGGTAGAATTCTAATCTTCGATTCATCGTTAATCTTCCATACGTAGTGTGACACGGGCTCTATATAGCACAGAAGCTTGAAGCAATATTGTGATATTAATGTTACTGGAATGTTGCTGTAATATTGCTAGAATGATCTGTGTTGTATTCATACAGCACAGAAGCTTGCAGCAAAATTGTTACAAAGTTGCAGTGTTATTGCTAGAACATTGGCGATATTGTTGGAATGATTTGTGCTAATGTTAATGTGATATTGTTGGAACATTGCAGTGTTGCTGTAATATTGTATGATCTGTGATATACTTTCATCACAGAAGTTTGCAACAACAGCATTATTACAAAGTTGTAGTGTTACTGCAATATTGCTGGAATGATGTAGAACACAGTAACAATAATATTACTGCAATATTACAATACAGAAGCTTGCAGTAATATTGTAACAACATTGCAACGTTCCAATAGTATTGCATGAACATTGCAGCGTTCCAGCAATATTACTGCAAAGTAATACTGCAGTAACATTAGAAATGTTGCAGCAATGTTGCTGTGAGCTTCTGTACTATATAAGGTAACGGAGCTCGCGGTTCTGAACTTTCGAAACTACTGGCTGTGCAAATTAAATCCGCGTCACATAAATAAACAGAATGTGTGTATACACGTATGTTCAACGGCGCGTGTTATGTCACCGATACTTTTGACGGATGCTGTTCTGAAAGATAGTAATTAATGGTGAGAGATAAGACGCGTGTTCACTGACGACAATTGTCCGTCTTGTCATTCGCGGAATAAATTGCCAGGTCATAGATTTTATTATTTTCGATTAGTTTCGAAGTATACGCACTTATACGTTTTGTTCCTGTAATCTTTATTTTTGTGACACCTTTTATCGGAAGCCATCCCCTTTGTCTGACGATAAAATTGGATAAGATTCACTTCGGAAGAACGCGCGTCCGAAGACGAGAAGGCGGTGAAGCTTTTCGATCCTCCCATGAAGCTGGACGACTTTATTTTTTTCCAGTGTATTCGAGATTACTCTACGGCAGGCCAGGCATAAAACCGCCTAAGGGATTTTCGTTTCTGTGAGTAAGGAATCGCGGAGACGCGGTGACATCATCTAGGAATTCGCATATGCTTTTAATTCGGGGGAAGGGAAGAGGTGCACGTTATTTCCTCGCACTATTAACCACGTCTTGCTCTCTCTCTCTCTCTCTCTCTCTCTCTCTCTCTCTCTCTCTCTCTCTCTTTTTCTCTCTATCTTTTTTCGCTATCTATCCTTTTCTGCTCCTTTTACTCTCGATCTCCGTGAGAAGTATTATTTCATTCACGACGGAACAAGTTGAGATACGAAGATCCAAAGAGAAGAATTCACGAAAGCGAGAAGCCGCGAGTCGGGGAAATCGAGGAAGGATTCTCGAGGAGAGATTCACATCTCTGGATTCACATCCCAGAGATCTAAAGTTCGATATACAGACAGCGATTCGTCCGCTGTTTTTCTAGGAGACTGCTGCAAGCTAAAGAATTGGCAAGTAACGCGAAACAAACGACCGGAGTCAACGGGGTTATTGTCCCGTTTGTGTATTGTGGAAGTCCCTCGTGATCTTTTTTGCGACGAGCGCTGATCGTGTTTGCCTCTCAGGAGGGACTAATGAAATCGTCGCGTCGACTAAGGGAATTATCTGCACCTGCGGAGGCACCTCCGGTGCCCGCTAACGTTCCACGCTAACGGTAAGCCGAGATTTCGCGCGAGAGCCGAACGCGGCGCAAGAAAGGTCAGATTCCATGCATTTACGGCGCGAGAGGTACCAGTCGCGATCGTTTACCCGTTGCTTCGTACGGGGAACCAAAAACGTTCATCCGAAATGATCAGGTTGCTGTCGAAAATTTTACGATATTTTCGTCGAACGCATTGACGGATCCAGAAATTTGTCAGGGGAGGAAAGGAGTCCATTAGCATATCGTAAACAAAATTCTTTTGAGGTCAAATATGCAAAGATAGAATTATAAATAATGAGAAAGTTGTTTTTAATAATAAAATTTTCACAATAAAGAAGCATATAACAACAACACAGATTGCTTTTTGTGATATTTAACATATTACAAAGATTCAGATTAACTTTAGACGTTTCGGCCAATATCTGGCCATCTTCAGTAAATTTACAAAAAAGCCATTAGTATTATGTGCTCGCGAATAAGAAGGAAGAGAACGTGATTTGCTAAATGTATGACTGCGAAATTTATTGTTAAATTTATGTACTAATGCGGGGTTTTTGTAATATATCACAAAAAACAACCTATGTTGTGGTTATATGCTTCTTTATTGTGAAAAAAAAAGATAGAATATTAAATTATTATTTAAATTTTTATGTGTTGGAAGGTAACTTACTTAACTTCATAAAAAAAATCATATTTTGAAAAGAATAATTTTAAAAAATGTTAAAATTGTTTCAACTAAAAAAAAGTGATTTTGAAGAATTGTGAAACGAAAATAACAAAAATAACATTTCATTACCTCAAGAATATATTCTTTTTGCTGATATTATTTAATAAATCAATAATTTTCTGTCAGTTGAAAAATAGTTTTTTTCTTTGTTGTCGAAAATTTTACGATATTTTGAGAAAAGATAGAATATTAAATTATTACATTGAAGAGTAAACTTCATAAGTTAACTTCATAAAAAATCGTCATATTTCAAAAAGAATGATTTAAAAAAAAATGTCAAAATCGTTACAACTCAAAACAAGTGATTTTGAAGAATTGTGAAAATGACAAAAATAACGTTTAATCACGTTAAAAATATTCTTTTTGCTGATATTATTTAATAAATCAATAATTTTCTGTCAAGTTAAAAAATAGCTTTTTTTCCTTTTCTGAGGAACTTAATTTTTTTAGCTGTGTCATTTTTCAAGTAAGAAAGCGATGTATCGTTATTCTGTATTTTACACCTTATCTTGGGTTTTGACGTCGTTATGTATAGGCTGTTTTTCTTTTAAGAGACACAAACATCTATCTTTCTTTATTCAATGAATGACAAAGATAGAATGCCACATACCTATATTGACTGTATCTTCCAAAAGGAAAGCAGCCATTTTACATTATCTTAGGTGTTGACCTCTCCGTATCTTTGACAATAAGTTCCTTACTCTTTCGCTTTGGATCCCAGAAAATCTTCGAATTTCAGAATTATTCCTCTTTATTCGGCGATCGCGCGAGACGTTATGGAACGCGGAATACGAGCTAATGTAATCCGCAATGCTCTCTACGACAAATCGGGCCAGTGCCATTTATTGTCCTACATTTGGAGATCGTAGCATGCTGGTCACCTTTCACCATCTATGCGATGCATTTCAAATAAAAATCCTCGGACGTTCCCTATGGTATGTCTTTCGAAGTAGTCTTGTTATTTCAACCAATCATTCTCATGCGAAGGAAGCTAGATACAAATAGCCATTCTGAACGTTTTTGCAGTAAGAGTTAACTATTTAGATATATCGTCGCGTTGATAGAGAATTAATAAATAACAGAAATAAAAAATTAGCATTTTTGAAATAATGAAAGGAAATCAACCCTTAAAGGCTAACATATTTTCATGGAAAGACGACACATTTGTGGATACATTATACTTATATAGAAAAATAATGGAATTTACACAATCTTATTAATCAGGATTGCAGTGTTTGAATTTCGAAAACTCATGACATAGTTTTAAAGAATATATTATAATTAAAAGTATAACGCGGAAAGCAAATTAGTATAACATTAGAAAGGAAGTTATGTACAATCATTATCTTGATTAAAACGTCGTTCCAATGTAGAAAGAAAAAAATGCTTTACTGAAAAGTTACTTAATTTTGAGACGTGTCACTTTATTTTTATCAACACGGTGATACACGAAAAGAATGATTTTGCTGAAATACCTAAAAATTTAACTAGATACAGATCTGAAAATAATTTTTTTTTATATAAAATAGAGATATATGAATAAATAACATGAAATAAACATAATTATAAATAAATATAATATAAAATTTGAAAAATATTTACACACACATAC